TTGGGGTTAGGAAAATGGAGTTCCACTCTAAATATAGCTTTTGTGTGTCTTGCACTTTACCATACAACCTTGATATTGTTTTACCTCCATGATGTTCGCCCTACTTTTTAAAAGGCAACAAACCAAACATTGTTTGATGTTTCATGTAGAGCAGCGATATGATCACTTCCATGGCAAATACATGCGCTGTCTTTCTCCAGGTGTACTGTGGGAGCTTCACTAGTGAATCTGTGACACAAGACCGTCATAATGCGGTTGATATGCTCACACTGACTGAATGCTCCTTAGCCTGTTGCAAGAAATATGTAGAGCAGAGTTTACAACATGACCCCCACCCCCTTACTCATTTAGCTTAAATGCATTTGTCTTCAGCAATACAGTTTAAAGTGTGCATTGCATAAGTGTGGCAGTTTTTTTTGGTCCTCAAGGATAACATGATAACAAGTCTTTAGCCTCATTGCTAATGGCATACACATGTGAGTTGCATGTGTGCAATGCATACTGAGCATGTGTGTGTGTGTGTGTGTGTGTGTGTGTGTGTGTAGGAACCACAAAGTGAATGGGTGAGTCTTCTCGTAAAGGCCAGCACAGATGTTATTTAGGTTGTTTCCCCTCAAACGAATTGAGGTTTTTCTATAGAAAGCCTCAAAACAAACACATTAAGTGCAGTCTTGTTTATATAACCACCGTACAGCTTAGGAAAAAAAAAAACAGCACCCTGGTCAATGTTGTCAGCTAGATGTGGGGTCATGTTGTAAACTCAAGTCTTTTGATTCCAGTCTGAGGAAAGGAAATCACTCCACCATGATGTTTTTCTGCCACTTTTGCACTCAGCATGCCCTAACGTGTTGCAAATGTGTTTTCCTCTCCTCAAACACTAAGCTAAAGCTATTGGACAAATTGTGAATATGTGATGAAAGGATTTAGAATATTATACATATAGGTCACTGTGGTGACTATAAATATTTTTTAGGGATGCTTTTGTTATATTTTGTGACTACATATGTTGTCGGGCTACCGCAACTACATGATGAGAGTTAATAATAGCAAGACTGCAGATATTAGGCCTATTTTATGTGGAATAAAGGGCACTGTAATTAGGCTACATTAATAATTTCTCAGGGGTGTTTTATAGCATTTTCATCCCATGTAACACAAAACAAAAACTAGACAAAAACTGAATTTTGAATGTTTTAAATTTATATTGACAACTGTATATATTATATGTATAGACAAAAGGCAGTTGTGATAAGCGTAATTTTTCAGGGGTTTATTTGGGGCAAGGTCACCTTATAATCTGGTGTTTTGGCGGTGAAGTTTCACTGCTTCTTATTATGCACTTAAACCACTTTAACTCTTTCCGCTTTCTCATAAGTAAGCATGGAGCACTCCCGTCTCTCTTTGGCATACACATGGACATTTTGTGTAGCTCAGACACTGTTCGAGAACAAAATTAAAACGCAAGCAACCCACAGGCAAAATGAGACGGCCCTAGAGGTTAATGTTGAGACATATTTGGACGCCCCACTTGCCAATCAAATGTTCGCCCTATCCAATTGGTCCTCCCTCCGTTATTATCATTCCATCTTCTACTCTGTCGGGCTTTCCGCAGTCCCCATCCGCCGGTCGACATAGACCCCCGCGAAGTGGTACTCGGATCATTTTGTGTTTCGTTCGCAGCTACAGAACAGTGACATTTTGAAATATTTTGCATAACCGTCGCATCAGTGTAAAGGGTGTCGATAGAAGCTTCATTTGGTTGAAATTGGATACCGCTGAGGTTTCACCGTCCATGTCGTCCCGTAGGCTGTGCTGCGGAGTGATATTCGAGTGGAACCGACAATGTGGAGGCTGTTAAAATGTCTACTTGGAAAATGAAATCACAATTACTCCAACAATAAGGGAAGGGAGTGACACGAGAGTTATGGTTCGTGTTAGAGAGATGATTTCAGTTTCGTGACGAAGACAACAACAAGACGAAGGGGCCGAGGAGCGGGTCATATTGTCTTTCCTCATCTTTATCAAGCTCACAGTCCGGACCACGGGGGAGGGATCCTATCCCTAACTTTGTTTTTCTCTCTGCTCCAGACGTTTATTTTTTCTTTGTTGGATGCCACATTATTGAATCCAGGTAAATACGTGGATAAATACACATTCATAACAAGCTTATGCGTGTCAGACATAAGTTGCTTCTACGTTAAGGGACTAATAATTAAGTTTTAAGCGCATCGTTCAAGTTGGAGTGCCATAGCCGGGAAAAGCGGGGTCTTGGATTGTCGTACCCATGGCGTGAGCGAGTTTGCAGAGTTACTACTCAGTAATAGTCGCTTGTGGTTGATGGGAAACACTTATTTGTTCACTTCAGTGGGCTATACTGCGCGTTCGCATATAAACAGACTGAGTTAGTTCCCCCCGGGATTTAGCCCTCTGTACGCTACTAGTATGTGGCAGGTTTTCTAGAAACATGCATTAACGTCTGCCATTGACAAAGACAGGCTGTGTTGTTTCATAACATTCCTGGCTGTGACTAAAATTGTTGTCTTTTCCACCTGTTGAGATTTTTAGTTTCACTAATGGAGCCTAGGTCAATCAATAAACCACTGTACCAGCTGTGCAAGGGTATAAAAATACCTCAGGGGTATTCTTTTTACCCCTCTTCACCTTTACATCTCTTTTCTTCATCCTGCACAACTAAAAACGCATTTTATCCAGTCTTCTAAATATATTTTGTCAGTTTTAATTTTTGATCACTCAGCTGAAACTTTGGTGGGCCGACTCTTTTGTGTTCATCTCATTCTCCTGCTCGACGTGAGGGCAGGCAACAGGTTTTAAGGCCCTTTTAAACGTCCCGCAGGTTTTTAACCTTCCGACGAGCCACGAAAACGCAGGTTGTTGGTGGCAGACTGCCTCCTGGTTAACGCCGGGGATGGGGTGTTATGTAGCAGTTTCTGCCTTCAAAGTTTTCTCCAAATGGGCAGGCCGAAGGTGGTGGTGCTCAAGACGAGCATATGCACCTTCCATTTGTTAGGAGGGGCTAAACAGATCTCCCCCATTTTGACCTCAGCCCGTGAAAAGACAGACATGACTAGATTATGAATTGTTAAAATATTTTGGTTTGTTCTTGACAGAAATAGCACTTTTGTCATTACTGTGTAATTGTGCTATTATTAGCCGTCGTACCACTATTTGCGTGGCTGTCTTGATGTAGACGTAGCATCCTTTCATGCCTTAAGAATCGGAGACAGTTTTATTTTAATTTATGAGTTTTCACTGTAGACATATTGTTGGTTTTAGTCTTTTTGTCACTATTTTGCTTGATTATAAGTTTAGTATTTCCATGAGTATCACTAGTAAATGTAGCATATAAGTATACAACCTCGATCCATTTTAATGTGATGGGTAATGTCTTTGTAGCTGCCACACACAGATTAAATAACTGAAACCAACTGGCCTTTTCTGGTTAGTGTGGTATTTTAGATGCAAACCTTTAGTCATGCCCTGAAAATGATACTGAGTTACTGATGTGGTAACAGTGAAATCCTCTCAGTGACATCTTATAAATGTACTTCTGGTCATGACTGTTTTATGTTACTGTGCGCTTGTTGTGGCATTTGTTATTTTGGCTTTTTGTTCCCTTTATTTCTTCAGTGAACTGAAAGTGTCTTGCAGCAATTTTTGCAATTTAATATTTTTAGTGCCATAAATTAAATATCACTTTAAGTGACTTTAAGTGATGGTGGCAGATCTCCGCATGCAGTGTTGTGTTTTTGGAATAATGTTTTTTATTTTTTGCATACATAATTTTTCACTCATTGCAGTTGATGCACCAGAAACTCTGACAATAATTCGGATACTCAAAGTGAATTGATTACTTTGTACTGTGCCAACATTAGCAGATCTATTGGGGGGAAAACTTCCTTGCTTTGATGCAGGCTGGTCTCAAGGGTTGAGCATGATGTTTTATTTTTCTGGAGCTGTTAGACTGGGTTGTTTTTTGAAGTAGAGGAAACACCCTGAGCCCAAGGGCTGTGGCCTGAGGCTGTACCTTGGAAACCCATGTTAGATGTGAGCTACCAGTGAACCTGTCATTATTTGGTCAATACTTTGTTGATCTCAGGCAGAGATGTGCTGCATGAAGGGTAATTCCATTTTAGCGTCACCAGACCTTTGAGAGTGTTTAACTTATGTTAAGTAAACAACTGTAATGTTAAATTCAGGAGGCACCATGTGTTGAATGTTTGTTGCTAGCTTATGGTCCACAGGACCATAGACATACATTATATTATGTCTGTGCACAGGATAGTTTAACTCAATAGCAGGAAAGTCATTCAGTTCTGCCGAAGAATCACTCCTCTTCATTACCATAAGGATCACATCCCACATACTGTACAGTATGTTGTGATTTCCTGTTTATACATGTTCTCCTAATATTATTTAAGTTAGCACAAAACAGACTTTACTCCATGTCTTCATTCTGGACGTTCTTCTGAGTTTCACGTGTCTTAAGAGTCACTTATTTGCAAACCACCTATGCTTGGCCCATGTATCCAGGGCTCCATCTGATAGGTCTAATGTTAGCATGCTGAGTGTGAATGCATGGCGTATGTAAATACATTTTTTTCCTTATTTGTTGCATTTCAAGCAGTCTTCATAGCGTGATGACGATGAAAATATGATTTATTGGTCGACCCTAATTAGTAAATAGATTACCTGAGCCTCCATAACACTCCCTGAAAAGCTGACCGAGTGGCGTTGTAGGTTATGTGCAGTGTGTTGGTTGAGGTAGGTTAGTCGTCTGGGAGTGTGTTTTGTTTTTCATAACATTATCTGCTCATTAATCAAGTTTTTTTTTTTTTTTTAACAAACTGGGTATTGCTTTCATAATTATGGTCATTGTAACTCTTGGTTATCGCAACATTTTACTAAAGGTAACATGTTAAACCAAGTTGTTTTAAAATCCAGATTTGATTGCCAATGTGTTTTGTTGCAAAGCTGTGCCTGATGGTGTTATTGCCGTGTCCAGTTGCCGGTGAGTAAAATGTTGTCAGAACCAAAAGGAATGATAGCTTTGGTCTCGCTGAATGAAATAAACAGTAAATCTGTCTGTTTGGCTCTTAGGCTATATCACCATCCTTTACTTTGATTAGATGTTGTAGAAAGGCTCAGTACCCACAATGCTGTCACATTATCAGAACTGAGGTATTAAAACACTTACTGATACTTGACTTTGGGAATACCTGGCTCCTTCTGTGCACCTTTTGCCGGTCAGAATAGTTAACCATTTTTAAAATGGGCCAAATATACTCATTCTCCATACCTCTGCTTGTAGTTGCCTGCTGAGACTGAGAGGGCCGAGTGAACAGCAGCAAAGAATGGCTGCAGTGGAAACAGACAAGGAGCTCAACGACTTGCTGGATTTTAGCGCGGTAAGATCTCTCTGAAGATTGCTTGAAGTATGCATCCTATACAGTTTGTTCTGTGCTCTCAGGATGGCAAATAAACTTTCATAATAAGTTTAGTTGTCAAGTAGGTTGAAATGTGTAAATGAATATCAAGGCCATCCATGAATGGGTCAGTGGGCCAGTGTTTGAAGGATTGTAGTGTGTAAATTAGTCACCTTTTTATGAGACTGCCGTTCTTGTGTCACTTAAATTTTAGTATTCCCTCAGTCAAAGCTGGAATATGTAGATCGACCCATGCCCATTGTAGCTGTTGGCTAAATAGGATAGGATAGTTTGAAATACCATCTAATCATTCTTTCCACAAGTGAAGATGATATAACTCAGCAAAGTCTTAGATGGACGTGAACTGTTTTGTTTATATTTTCCTCTCTTTTTCAGATGTTTGAGCCTCCAGTTTCAAATGGCAAGAACCGGCCGACTACTCTCGCCAGCAGTCAGTTTGGAGGTTCAGGTAAGACAAAAACAACCCTTTTTAGTCTTTTGTGTCCCTTTGAGCCCTTTGGCATGAGCAACTGTCTTTTAACAATTAATTTCATTTTTGTTGTTTCTTTTTAAAAGATTTTTATTTTTGCTAGGCTTCTTTGTGTTTCTGGATTCCTATTATTTGCCTTTTAAATAGAATAAATACTTTTCTTATAGATGTCATTTATTCTGTTAAAAGACAGAACATTTTTACTAGAGAGAAAAGAAAATTTTCTCTCACCAAAAGTTTGTTAAAAGTAGCAACAGTGGCCTTATTGGTTTATAAGCGGGTATTCGGACTGAGTTTCAGGGGTGTGAAGAAAACGCAACCTTCTCCATTCATTCCATTCCGCGCAACTGGCAGCGACACCCCAAGGGGCTCCGGCAAAAAGATGCATCCCCATGCTGTGGAAAAGTTGGACCTGGTTCAGCTTTTACTGCACTGAATGGGGACATTATCTGGCAAAGGTGCTGTGTTGACCAATCACATACGGGGGGGGGGGGGGGGGGGGGGAGGGTCAAAACATGGGCGCCCACCGGAAGAAGGCTGTTTGTTTACCTTGTTAGCATGAGCATTCATTGCTATTCACTCTTGAATTTGGGCCACAGTTAACACCATAACAACATGCCATGTGTTTTTGTTAGTTAGGGTACTGGATGTTAAACTGTGTTTTCACCAGTGACACACTGGTGGTAGACATTGGTGCTAATGTAGAGTAGGCTATGTTCGCTGCATGGCTAACCAAAACACAACGGAAACTTGAGCTGGAAACATGAATGAAGCCATTCATACTGACTTGTCACAACATGGCCAAATCGTACGCTCCTACCAACACTTCTCCCATAACCCCTCACCTCCCTGGCAAACAGCCTCTTGTGTAAAAACACAGCAGGGAGGTGCATTTTATCGCATTCAGTCTGAACACCCACTAATGCTCCCCAGTACATATCCCAACAGTAAAACCTGCCAGTCATGGGCTTCTTTCCATCTCTACCTCATTTCACTCACTTAACTTTTGAATAGTAATAGAGAAGGAAGTTCGTCTGTTCTCCTATTCTTCTCGTGAATTGCATTTCTGATCACAGATTATTGGAAAGATCCTCAGGAAACATTGTCATCTTGCTATATGTTATGTAGATCAAGTGTCATCTCCTCTACATTTCCTCATCCACGCCTTGCAGGTGTCCCTTTCCTCACCTTGTCAGCTGTTGCCGTTCAATCACTTAAGAACAAAGGCAGGGGGTGGGGGTTGAAGGGAACAGCTCAGTTAATCTCCTGTATTTACTCTGTGAAAAAGTGCGCTCCCTTGTCCTGCTTCTGCTCTTCACACAACATTTTTTCACCATCCTCATCAGCGACTTTACAAGCTCAGCCCTTACAGTCAGTTTTAAGACATACATGCAGCTTACTGTAAACAAACAGCCTCAGAGATGCACACAGTCAGACTGTTTCCTTATTTTGTGTTTGTGTCTGGGCTGTTTCCTGTTGTTCTTATACAGGACAT